ACATAATAAAACATCTTTTTGATACAAGTGAGTTGTACTCTATATTGTACAGCGTACAGTATACAACGGAGAACAATGTAAAGGAAACTAACATACGCCGACAGTAATGCATCTGAGCATAAGGTGAATAAGGCTGTTTTCTAAAGAGATAGCTCAGTATTATATATTAAAAAAATTTTTTTGTGATAATAAAATGCAACCACAGACATCTATGAGTAACTGGAAAATAATTGCAAATAATATGTACGGGGGGGGGGAAATGCAAAAACGTTTAATTTAAAAAAATGTTAAAGTTTGTAGAAAGACAAAAAAATGGTAAACACAAAAATGGCAAAACAGATTACAGTTTTACACTTTGAAGGAAAATGTGCCACTAAGAAGTTTTAAAAAATAAGCATCACCAATATTTAAAAAGAAAAGCAAATGAAAAGAAAGAAAAAAATTCTGAAAGCATTCAGTTTTAATGTGGCGGTACTAGAGGATTTGTTAAGTTTTTTTTGTGCTTTCGCTGATCTCGTGGATTAACATTCTGCTCTTTTGAACTCACAGTTGCTAATACACTTCGTTTTGTCTTCGTAACCCTATTGTTAAACATTGCTATCTTCGCACTTATACCACCACATAACATACAACATCAAAATCATATAAAAAAAAAATTCCTGAAAGCTTTTAGATTTTAATATTACGCCCTACTAAGGGTGTTTTTTAACGTTTTGTGTGTTACCTTTACTTATTAGATATCATGTTCTTCGCATTTTAACCATAAAATTCAGTTAAAAAGCAATATCGCAAAATAATTTTAAAATGAGCATATCATTAGAATTTCCAATACACTGTCTTGCGTGCAGGAGATAAATTTTTTTTTTTCCGTACAGTGTTGCTATTGCTCGCTTTGAAATCGTTGAATTTGTTAATCAAAAATTTTTAATATTTGACAAAATATGAAACTGAAAATAAAATAAATTCAAAATTCAAAATTAGGGCTTCCAGATGCCCATATTCGGTTGAGGATTATGTTATTCAATATCTGATGGCCCTAGGTACCGTTGTTTTATCACAGGGCGAGAAATATACATACATTTATGCAGATTCTTCATTATTTGATTTCTTAAAATGTAACACAGGGCGATAGTATTTGGTGGCAACAATTTGAAAAGTGAAACTGACATTTAAAGTTTTCAACGCAAAATGCTAAAGTGAAATTAATAGCCCTTCTGGGCTAATGCCTTTTGGACTAACAAGTTTTAAAAGCAGCATTTTTTAGAATTCCGGATAAAGTGCTGCCATACATTTTCTATTTTTTTTTTTTCGGGCTTTTCGTAATTCATCAAACTAATGTTCAGTTTTCTTCGCAAAATGATCTTCACAATTTTTTCGGTCTGTCTTTTTGACTTTATTATTAAACTTCACACTTTGCTACATAAAATTCAAGAGAAGAATTACAGTATTTTTAAAAGTAGCATACTTTTAGAATTCTGGATGTGTTAAAATTTGCGATTAACGTTTTTCATTTCTTTCTCAGTTCATCATATCAATGTTCAGTTTTCTTAGTAAGATGACTTAATGCATCTTTTTTTGCCTTGTTATTATTCGCTTTCTGTCTTTTTAGTTTTATTTATTAAACGTCACTTTCTTCATACGTTCACCACCAACAGCAATATCACAAAATATTTAAAAACCACATATCTTTAGAATTCTGTGTTAGTTATAAGTGTCACCATATATTTTTTTAAATATCTGCTACATTATTTCTTTAAATTCGTTGCATGGCGATAACATCTGATGGCAATATTCTTTTACCTTAAACGTGATTCGGTCGCAAAGTGAGGAGCGAGAATAATAGCACTAGTGGTGGTTAAAAAAATAATTGAAAATAAGTTAAAATTTCAAATTTATTTCTAAGTGTGAAAAAAAAAAAAAAAAAAAAAAAAAAAGCTTGAAAGTTTTCAAATTTTAACAATCATCCAAAACGGATCTTTAAAGTTTAATGTAGTTTATCGGTACAGATTATCGATAGAGATGGTCCACGAGAAAAATCGAAACATACATAGAATACTAGAGGAATATGCATTTAGACTAAGCTGAGAACAGGATGTCCCATATGTCTGTAAATACTTTTAAAAGCCATAAAAAATTAAAGGAGTTGAAAGAATTGAATGCTGTTTGCAAAACTGTTATTCTCGTGAACGGTTTTTTTTCGGAGGGGGGGGGTAAAGGAAAAGAAATAGTTAAAATTATCGGCGATAGAAGGCGCTATATGAGAATAAATTACTTTTTCAAGGAAAACTATATTTATTTGTACCTAGGCAAATGTTCACAAGCATTTCACTCTTAGAAGCAATGTTAAACATGTTCACAGAGATATTATATAATTACAAAGTATATAAAAGTTGCAATGATCTTAACAGATGGATATATAATAATTTACACATAATTACATTAAAACCTCAGTTCTCAGTACAAATCACAATATCACGTTGTATCATATACCTAGTTATGACTGACCATTTATGTCTGACTTCTGTGTGTTGCTTTATTTATGACTACTGCTACAATTAACAGTTGTTAATGATGCTTACAGCATACTGGCCAGCATCATAACCACATGATTTTTTTATAATGTTTGTAAGTACGTATTTGTTTGCAATTCCTTTTCCTAACTTTTAGTAATGCCGCGGTTTTTTTTTTTTTTTTTTTTTTTTTTTTTTTTTGTACGAAAATTTTGGAAGATTATAAGATTTCCTTAAGTCCTAGCATAGTTTTCTCTACATATGTATGTTTATTTTAATGGATATGTATGTACGAAGTTGTTATCTATAACTGGGTTTCCAATTATTATGTTGGCCAATATTAATATTCATAATTTACTTATTAATTGTAGCAAGTTAGTGTACAAAAATATGCCTGTATTTTTAATATAGGTCATAGGTCATAGGTCTTCGCTTATTTAACAGGTATACGACCCTGAAGTCTTTACCTATCTATATCTGTCCTTAGTGGGTATCCTAAAAGTGAAAAATAAATCCAAATGTTGAAGCAAACCTGTGTACTTGAAGTGCTGAATGACATACAATATGGCAGCATGTATCAGTGGCATAACTTGGGCAAAATAGCGATTTAACATATCTGAAGCATAACTTTCACATCGTAAAAGCAATTTAGCACATCTGTAGCATAAAAACTTTGGCATAACTTTCTCCTCGTAGGTGCTACGGCTGTAGCGTCCTCTTTGCTCCGTGTCTTGAAGCTAATAGAAAATGAGGTATTTTTAACACTGTTCGTAATTCATAAATAATACAGAAACTGCATTTCACAATGGTTGCTATGATTTTAGCATATTATTTTCTTAATTAGATAAATTACAAGATTTACCGATAATATTTCAAATTTATAGTTCCCTATACCATTTGAGTAAACATTTCACACCTACAATATTTTGGTTTTATGTTAAATTTTAATGGCGACAATGGTGTCATTCTTAATACAGAAGCTGTTCGTACATTTTTTAGACGATTTTCATTGAATCTACACATATAATTTACCTATAATGTTTGTGTTTTAAATGTTCCATTTGATAAACCTTATTCTTCATTACCTTTCTACGCTATAATTTCCAAGACAATAGAGATTTTTTTGGGTAGCGGAAGAGGTATTTTATCCCATTCCTCTTTGACAGCTTTTCAAGGTCCAAAGAGGGTTATAGGTAGAAGTATGGAGTATCCGCTTTTTAAAAGTCCAAAAGTGCAAAAATCCGTGGATGATAACATCAGGAGATTTAATAGAGATATGAGTGAAGCCTATGGCTTTGATACACGTTTCTTGCTCTATTTTTTTCCCAGGAAATTAACAGTGTATTATGACGTGTGGCTGCCTGCTTTGTCTTGATGCAGTTCTACTAATTGATGACACGGTAGCTAGTGAGTAGACATTTTATATTTGAAAATTGGGTATAAAATATGTTTCTGATAATATGTGGAGTTGACCTTAACAGTTTTCTGCACTCTCTTTAATTTTTATTTGTTCGTTATATCGAAAACCAACAACAATCATAAATCCTTTTGAAAAAATTTCCAAAAACATTCTTTAGATTCTTTAAACCATGTTCTAAGATTTTGATGATAATAAATATATTTTTTTTATTGCGCTCATTTAAACACAACGAAAATGCAACTATTAGGACAATATTTTCCCATTTCTGTCTGAATAATTATTTGTCGTTGTGAATTCCTGCAGCACGTATTTCTTTCGGCTAAGAAGAAGAAAGACTGTGCATATTATATTTTTTTTGGCTTTCTAAGATTCAAATCAGCTTTAATGGCCTTGTTTACAGTTGACACTGAGCATTTTAATAATTCTGGGCAGCTGTCCTTTGGCTTGAAAGATTTTCTTTTAACATTAAAGTTCTTACCTTTGCAACATTAGAAGCATTATTTTTCCTTGGTTATATATTTTAAGTAATAGTTCTTCTCAAAGCCAAACTTTGACATTTTTTAAAATTTTCTTACTTACAATATTATCTAGCGTTGCTTTAGATACCGAAAAATCATGGATTTCACAGCATTTTTTATAACTACGTACGAATAATTTTCTTTGGAAAGAGCAAAAACATAGCTTTCCGTCCATTGCTTCTTTAAAAACGCCATTTTGCATGAAATCAAAATTGTCAGATAGCAGACGATAATTTATACTTTCAAAAATGTAGCTGAAGTTAAAAAAAAAGGTTTCCCAAGCATTTTTTATAGCAAGTCGTCTAAAAATGTGCAAACAACCTTTATAACAGGATATGTTGACATGTAAAATATCTGTTGATATCAATAAAATAATAAACACAGATATCAATAAAATAATAAACACAGCGACTAAGGAGTCCTGATAGTATGGTATCTCCACTGATATCACTAGCCACTTTCTTACATAGCGATATAACACTGATATCCGTTACCCCATGGAAAGTTTAATATTTTCTTCTTATTTCCTACTTAACGGCGTAATAAATCGGTCTCGGGTCTTTATATGTGCAGGTACGTTTTCCAAGATTAACTGGCTTTTCCCTCTAAGAATATATTTCTCATAATAATATTAACAGGCATTTTACCTGAGGTCTGTATTCTTTGTACTGAAATAATCCGGCAATCAGTTATTTTACTATTTCTTTGCTTAAATTTGTACTGAAATATAGGTTGCTTTATGTAAAATCTTTTGCACCATACCCCAGAAAATAGTTCATGTAATATTTTACTTCCAGGAAGAAGAAGAAGAACTCTTCAACTCCCTTCTTGATGAATGCATTCATGGTGTTGCATGGGAGCAAGTCGCTCAGCATGGCAAAGACTTATCAAGAGAAATGTATTGTGCTTTGGTAATTATGAATGCTTTTAAATATTTAGATATTTACATCAACAAAGGGTCGTTATTGCGTATGTGTATTATGTTATTATTCAAAAACTGCCGTATGAGTTATTAGCATCTATGCATACTAACTGAATTTTTTTAATCAACATTCTTAAAATTTAAACACTTTAGATTTTATATAAATGCACCGTTTTTTTTTTTCTTATTACAGTTGACTGTGGACTAACTGATTTCTCTAGTAAAATGCTTTAGAAAAAAAATCGACGGATACTTAATTCAGAAAATCATACAAAGTTGCATTTATAGGCTGTGAGTCAGATAAAAGCAAAAATTTTGAAAATCTAACTGTGAAATACTCAGCAAAATACTAAATGAAAAATAAAGAAAAACTTATATTTGCATCAATAGTACCTCTAAAGGCGAAGACCTCCAAAATGGCGATCAATTTTCAAATAGAAATGCGCGTGCGTAGTAGGGTTGCCAAAAATATTCCGGCCCTCTACTCGGTTGGGTTACCATATACCAGGGTTCGTTTGAATTCAGGAATGTTCGAGAACCGCATCTAGATTTTCTAAAAGCCACAAGTTCATATTTACATCATTATAGAAGTAGTAGAGGAAGTTTTTCAATAGAAAGAAATCCCTGATAAATTTGTAAAGAGTCTAAACTATTCAATTACTTCTTTTTGGACACTGAATAGTTTTAGTTTACCATATTTCATACATATATTTTATATGCTCGAGCCGCACAAATAGCCTGCGAGAGCCGTATTAGGCTCGCGAGCCGCACTTTGGCCACCCCTGCCATATACAAAGAAAGGAACCTAACACTGTAGAAAAGGGGGAGGGAAGCGACAAGTTGTAGATAAATTGATGGGGTAGAATGCTGATTGTAAATCCATAATAATGGGAAATTTAATGAATGGAATCCATAATGAATAACTAATCAATGAAATCTATAATGAATGGCACCCAAGGAAGGTTAAATATTCATATTGATCATCAATTGACATTTGCGGCCACAATTCACTTGGTGCTCTAATAGTGCCTATTCAAGAACATTCGCATTTTTGATACCATTGCAATAGGAAGAAAACCACAGTAGAATAACTCACTTCTTAACAGCAACAGAGATAGAGGCAAAAGTGCGCAGTTATCCAATATGGCAGCCTATTAAGAGAAAGGTTTCAGTTTTTGAAATTTGGAGTTCAGGTTCCGAATTGGCTACGTCATTAGCGTTATACAAGCCATGTGAGATAGACTGTCCTAGAAATGGCTAAGCTAAGAAAAATTATTACTATTTTTAGAATGGAGAGGGAGAATCAAGATGTATTGTTAGTTTAAATCAGGGTTTCTTAAACTGTGGGTCGCGAACCCCAAGGGGGTAGCAGGACCTCCAGCAGGGGATCGCCAAAAATTTTAGCAGTTTTGATATTTAACTTAATATAATAATTTTACATTTACCAAATATTTTTACACAATGTATCTGAAAATAGATAAAGATAAGACGCATGTATCTGAAATTAATTCAGAGAGAGACAGAGGAAAAAACGAAAATTCAGACAGAGGAAAAAACGAAAACGTTTAGATGCATACTATTTATAATATAAACGTTCATTTTCCTTGCTTTGCACGTTACGAAGCTATCATTTCATCTTGTTACTTATTTAAAATTTTCACATTCTATGTTTTAAAATTAGAAATTAAAGCTAATAACCTAAAACTACAAGCATATATTACAGTAAAAGCGAAAAAATTGACAGTTTCACTCACACGAGTGTCAGATTTGCGCAATACTTTTGGGGTCCCACAAAATTTTTGTAAATATTATGAGGTCCTGGGGGTCGCGAAAAAATCTCAGTGATAAAAAGGGGTCGCGACCGAAAAAAGTTTAAGAAACCCTGGTTTAAGTCATAATTTTGAGATTTACATATTTTTATCTTATATATATATATATAAATTTAAACAAATTTAAATTCTTAAACAAATACGTATAAAAGTAAAAAAGTAAAAAAGCAAATTTAAATTCTAAAAAAAAGAAAAAAAGCCAAAATAATTTAAATAATTTAAAATATGCAAACATGTAAAAAGATTTAATTCTCGAACTAATCTACATATCATTTAAATTAAATTCAGAAGCATAAGCAAATCAAGTGCAAAATCTATCCATGAAAATAAATGTACTAATTTAATAAATTAAAATTAAATTAAACAATTTTTTTAAAAATGCATATGTGAATGATCGTAGAGTAGGCAGGAGACAGACTTATCAAGGGGAAGTTGCCTCCAAACCTAACTCTCCAATCATTCAATTCGTGTTTCGTCATTCATGCAGGCAAGGGTAAAAGTCAAAACCAAAAGTAATTCCAATAAAGTGGTACCCTTAGAAATTAACATTTAAGTATTAACATTTAAGAATTAAAGTTCAAAAAGGAAAATACTAATTAAGTCTTTTGAGAAACAAGCAAATAAAGTTAAAAATTAAACTTTTTCTTAAAAAATTAAATTTTTTTAAAAATTAATTTTTTTATAAAATAATAAAAAAATCTAGAAACCAATGTATTTTAGAAATCCTTGTCTACAGAAACTTCCCCTACACGAATATGCATATCAATAAAAAGAAACTATAAAAGAACTATACATAATCATATAAACCAATAAGAAATAAAAAAAACAAAAAAAACAAAAAACTAATTCACAATTTTAAAATAAATATATATTTAAAAATATAATTTCATATTTAGAAAATACTTAGATACTACATAAAAAATTTAAAAAAAAAAAATACTTAAAGCAAGTAAATAGTAAGTTTTAATTCTAACTTACCTACTATATAAGTGTTGGGGTCTGCAAAAGTGTTTGTGAAAGAGAAGTAAGTGTGTTCTTCAAATTATATAGATGGCGCTTATGTAGGTAAAGTTGAGTGTCAAGCTGTTATCTTTGTTATAGTAAAAATTTTTTTGTAAATATTAATATTAATTAAATTAAATTAAATTAAATTAAAATTCTAAAGGTAGTAATTATCTATGATACATGTATATATGTAAAGTATATAATATATAATATGCAAAATATAAAATCTAGCTTTAAAATAATAAATTAATAGTCCTTTAACTTCCGTTTCATTCCGAAAATAACAGCAATAAATTTTACTATTTGCAGTTTTAATGCGCATTTGCCAATGAAATCTGAACCCCAAATACTATATATCAAAGTGTCACGTGATCTAAAATGGAATTCGGTATATAAAAAGGGTAATTACGTCACAACTCCCTCTTCTTCCCTTCGTTCGTCTCTTCTGCTGCTTTTCGGCAAATTTTACTTTTCTAAATTTATCCATTGTTTAAGATGTAAGCTGAACAAAATAAGGAGGTGCATAGCGCACACACAGTGATAATATGCATTGTCATCCAGGAATAAAATTATTTGTGGAACTCAGGCTATGTCTGCAAGTTTTTTTTTTTTTTTTTTTCCCTGGTTTATGCATCCATCGTTCTAACTACGCAGCAAAGTTTTCAAGTTATGCTGCAGTCCTCTTCAACGCCAATCCGTTGCAACTCTCACTAAGTCATCTTATTTTATCTAATAATGCAGTTATCAGATGGATAATAACGCAGTTATCATATAATAGAGCAGTTTTATCACACATATATATATATATATACGTGTGTGTGTGTGTGTGTAAAGCAAACTATTCTAATTTTAAAAAAATTAAAATTAGAACTTAAAATTAAAGGGGCAATAGCCCCTTTAATTTTAATTTGGATATTTCCCCTTTCCTAAAAATAGTAACTATTTATAATATATAAATCTAAATTTCATCATTTACAAATTAATCCGTATCATATGATGTTACATAAAGCTATAATAATGCAGGTATCTATTAGCAAATCCCTGAATAAGATTTCATTTGAAACTAAAACCTTTTTGACTCTCTCCCACGCTTTCTTCTGAATGTGTCTCATATTTCCGCTTCCTTGCTTCGAAGTAACAACATGCGGCTCGCTTCTTTGGCTTTTTTCTTAAAATGTGCTAAGCTTCCAAAAGTATGGGGTGTAGATTGCGTCCATATTCATACGAGAATACGTATATGATTCAGAACGTTCTTATGTATATGCCTCAGAACATGAATCTCAAGAATTGCTTTAGAAAGAAAGAAATTAAATCGTCGGCTACATCTGTCTGCTAGTTCCATAATTTCGTCTATATATAAAACTCTCGAAATTATTATTATATTTATTATATATGTGTGTTAGAAAGAACATCCTAAAATATCGGAAAGTGTACACATTAACGTGAAAGAGGTTCCAACACACCAGAAACTAAACTAATTTTATTTACAACTACAAAAATGTTTCGAAAAAAATGAAACTTTGAATGGAGGATCGAACATCTTTCCATTCATGTTTACTAATAACTCATGTAGCGTATCAAGATACTCAATAGGAGTTGCTGTTAAAGTTGCAGTTACGCTGATTCCTATTTATATGCGTGTGGGTATACGTTGAATGTGAAAGCATTTATATTATTAATCGCTATTTAGTTTTAAAAAGTTGTGATGCACATATGCTCCTGTTCGTGAAAACTGGAATACAATGAAAGAATCATCAGAATTGAATGCGTAAAGTATTTTCTCCCTCCTTTTTGCATGCCTACGCGGTGTAATGCTAGCACCCTCGGCGGGCATTTCGAGAGATCCAGGTTCGAATCCCTGCGAGAGATTTGTACATTTTTCACGTCTCCTGCTTAAACTAATCTCTCCACAGTGGTGCTTGAACTAAAAGGTCGAAATTGATGATTCTTCAGCACGGGCATTTGGCGATAGGGTCCCCTAATCCCCAGTCACCCTTTAAAAGAGGAAAAATATAAGGTATTCTCTCTCTCCTTTCTGCATGCCTTCGTGGTGTAACGGTAGCATACTCGGTGCGTATTTCGAGAGTTTCTGGTTAGAGTCCACGAGAGGGCATTGCTCATATTTCATGTATTCTGCTCCCAAATAACCTAAGGCCCACCAGCGGCCGAGCGGTAACGTCGCTGAACACTGGTAGTTCGGTCCGAGGTTCGAATCCCGCGAACGGGCTGGCTGCATGGGTGTTTTCGGTTTTCCCCATGTGTAACGTGTATACGAGCCAGTTTCCTTTTAAAAAGTCCTCCACGATGGCATCCCAGATAGCCCTCGAGTGCTTTGCCGTAATTTAATAAACCAAACCAAACCAAACCCAAATAACCTAAGGACTCTACAAATGAAAGTTGAAAAAAGATGTGATGCATGCACATATATGCTCCTGTTTGTGAAAATTGGAACGCCATGAAAGAATCGTCAAAATTGAATGAAACTTGAAAAAAGTTTTGGTGCACATATGCTCGTTTGTGAGAACTGGAAAACCGTGAAAGATGAGAGAATAATCAGAATTGAATAAAACATGAAAAAAAAAAAAAAAAAAAGGCGTGGTGCACATATATACTCCTGTTTGTGAAAACTGGAACACCATGAAAGAATCAACATAACTGAATGAAACTTATTCCACATATGGCTTGGAAATGATCAAATCTGCTAAGTATATATTAAATGAACCAAATTAGCATTAGCTGAAGCCATCACGCTATACAATAAGAACTTCGTGGCATTGTACCAAATAAGTTTTGAGTGTATACGTGAGGAACGGCATTCCATATTACTTCTATTTAAGCGTAAAGTTGATTCGTTTTGGTTCGGGGACGAGTGTCACGAGCGGTTGCCTGTACACGAAATTTTACACAACAGGCGAAGTATCTGGTGAATGGATAGGCAAAGGATGAAGTGGTATTTGAGAGATTTAGAATAAGTTCTAAACATTTTTCACCTATATGTGAAAGAGCATTTTTATGTTGCAATATACCTACAGGGAAGATACAACTTCCGGCTTCACAACCTTCTTGATGCAACAGTTGTTGATAAGAGTACCTGAGAGTCTTAGCAGATATGATCACCCTGGTATCCATTGGTGCGACAGACCTCCACATTTGGCTATGGTCTCCTATAACGCTGCATAATTTACTCTGAAAGAGAACGTTGTCTAGTATAACATGTAACGTGCATTCAGCCGTCAATTTGCTATATATTGAAGCAGGTTTTGTCGGAAAAGATGACCTGCTATCAACTGCAACGCCAGTGGTTATATTGACAAGCCCATTGTAGCAGCCACACGTCCATGGTTTTGAGGTATGTGAATGTTTCACAAAGAAACTTATTCACGCAATATGTAAGGTAACAGACTCCTCCTAACTTTTGAAACTAGCAATAGGATATTTGTAGCAGCGCTCCAGCGTTGTGCCAACTGTCGAGATGAAGATGCACTGTCTGTGACTGTTGTACGAAAGGAGTGCTATTCATCCAGTGATGATGTAACATTTCGTGGTCCATTGCTGTTTTCGTGACTTACGGTTGCTTTTTAAACTCAATGATTCCCCATTCGCTTCAGTGACAAGGCATTATGTCCCATACAAACTGCAATTTCACGATAGAAAAATTCTTCTCGCAGGCCAATCAATCGTGCTCGTTCAAAAGCCGTAATTTTAATATATTATTCCCCTTGTCGTCGACAAAGCATAGAGATTTCTCATGAAAAGTTTACCACCAGCAAATGATGAAATACTTCTTATATTTCATTATGAACATCTAAAGAGCTAACTTCTGGCTCCTGATTGGACTTCAGTTCATCACACTCTCACCGCCAGCAAAGAATTTCTAAGATATTCCTTGATGAATCTCTTAAGGTATTCTTAGATATTTTTTGCCGCCAGTGAGTCTTCAGAGACAACGTGTCTCATTTTATTATTTCAAGTGTTCACATCTTTATGGTGAAACAATTATGAAAATCCGTTATGTGTGAGCCCCTAGTGGGATTCCGTGACAAGCTCTGGTAAGAGTAGGATAAATTCCTGCAGAACGAAACTAAAGCATCAAAGAGCTAACATGGCATTTCAGGCTCTCAGCATACGCATGCGCAATCAATCTGATATTCTCATAATTTGTATACCCTGACCATTTTCTCTAAAATTTTGGTTATCTGCACTATTTTTCTATTCCTTCTGCAGAATATGCACCTGTAAGGTAAAGAATAATATAAAGATTTCAGTTTAATCTATAAAGGTCTACTATTTAATTTATTTCCCACTTATATCTTATATATTTGTTTGGATACACATCAAATTATGATCGCTTGCTCAGGATATGCGTCGCAGTCTTTTTATTATTGATAAGATAATAAAATTCAATGTATATTTCTGCACTTTTCAACTGATAAGTATTATTAGTAAAATATTATATTGGCTTAATACCCCTCTCTCGCGGTCACTTATTAGTACACAAAACATCAGTTTGAATGTGCTACATGTTATGATTTTAGTAGGTAGATCGCGACACATTTTTTTAAGAAAAAGTGTCGATCATACCTGTGTACTGAAGCTTATTAAATGTATTAAAACGATTTTTCTCGCAGATATCTCACAATCCTGGCAAGTACATGCTAGACAAAGAATCTCTCGCCATTCTTAGTAAGAAACTCTTCAAGAAAAGCAAAGGCCAGGATTGGAGTGAATCTTGTGAGCTGATAGACAGTAAGTAATTTTAAAAACAAAACTTCCTATTTTCATATTTTCTTTTCTGAAAATTGTACTTCATTTCCGTATGTAGTTTTGTAGAGTTATTAGGTTTATTAAGAACAAGGAATGCGAGAAACTAGCATTGCCCTCGCTGATATTCATTAGCTGTCTTCTAACTACTAGACAGGACATGTTTCCAGTTGTACCACAAGAGTGCGGATGGGAAATGCGATAATACGATTATATTTTCCTCGAGATATTTTTATTAGTCCAAAGGGGCTTTGTCCCGAGGGACTATTGTTTTCGTTTTGCGATTTTGCGTCGAATCACTCTGAATGTCCGTTTCACTTTTCAAACTGTTGCCACAAATATTACCGCCCTATATTATATGTGAAGAAATTATATATGAAGAATCTACATAAACGTATGTATGTTTCTCGCATTGTTATAAAACAACGGTACCTAGAGCCATCCAATTTTGAATGACGTAATTCTACTGCGAATATGAGCATCTGGAAGCCCAAATTCGAAATTTGGAATTTGTTTTATGATCGATTTCATATTTGTAAAATTTTAACGAGTTTTCGATTAACGAACTCAAGGATTTCAAAGCGAGCAATGGCAAAGCTAAAGATATGCTCAGTTTAAAATTATTTTGCGATATTGCTCTTGAACTGAATTTTATGGTTTAAGTGCGAAGAACATGATATTTAAAGTAACTGGAAGTTCAATTTTAAAATAAGCTAGTTGTCGAAGACAACACAATTCAATTTAATAAAGTAGGCTCACAAACCTAACCTGCATATTCGAATATCAGCAATAATGCAAATTCCGAGAACATAAATCTTATCTAAGCTAGCAGCAACTTCGTAACTTAGCCTCGAGAGGCAGAACATTATCAATCTGATTCAAGAAATGTGGCCACTTTCTGAATTATAAAGAACGTTTAAAAAAAAACTAGATTCAGATCATAATGACTTATTTTTCAATAAATATTGTAAATTATGAAAAAATACAGAAAACTAATGCTCATGAATTTCCCAGCTTAAAGGCTCTCATTAACTCTGATTTTTTTTTTTTTTTTTTTCTCTAACCAGAGGTTTACTGGTAAGATCAATGGATGTTAGTAGTTTAGCCACGTGGCAGCTTTGTTGCAGCCGTCTGTAAATGGTTTGCCGTCTGTAAATGGTTTTCCGTCTGTAAATGGTTTTCCGCCTAAAGGCATCTGGGAGGATGCTATGTGCATATCTGGGTTGATATATAGATATGTTTAGGCAAAGTACCAATTTTTTTTAATAGAAAAAAAATTATATTGTAATTGAAGAATCCAGAATTCCCTGACCAGTCACGGAGAACTAAACATGAACTAAACATTCAGTCTACAACTCCACGGAGTCAGCTGTATAATCACCTTGGTACTATTAGGTTTTGAGGGCCGTAAAAAGTCGCCAAACTATTGTTGATGCCAATGCTGCCAAAAATAATTGCGGTAACCCTAATGCAAGAAAGGAAGTATAATAGTAAATAACTATCTAAGATTGATGTTTTAATTTAGATGAAAGGTTAATTTCATATAATACTTTTTTATTATTATAATTTCTATAAAAAAAGGCTAAACATGACTGAATGGAAGCATAAGAGTAAATAACTATTTCAGATCATTATTATAATTTATATAAAAATTGCTAAACATAACTGAATGGATGCCTGGATCGCTACTTCGCTACCGACTTATCGCTAAAGCATAATTTCATCTCTTTGTTGTTCAAACGTAATTTTCTATAATGAATGATGCCTTTTCTTTGAAAAAATTCTCGGTAAAGTGCAGAATCGCTCGCTTATTTGTTTCCCGCTTTTTACAATGGTAAAAAGAGTTGGATTTTTGTCAATTTTCTTTTACTTTTTAAGTGAAAATAGGTCGATGTGTACATAGATAAAGTCAAGGGTGTGCGCAGTGCCATTTTTGTGCAATTCTGGTTTTTTTTTTTTTTTTTTTTTTTTTTTTTTTTTTTTTTTTTAAGTCCAAAGGGGCTTTGTCCCTGAAGGACTATTGTTTTCGTTTTGCGATTTTGCGTCGGACTCATAAACGTGGGTTCACTTTTCAAACTGTTGCCACAAAATGTTAGAGTCCTGCATTATATTTGAAGAAATTAAATAATGAAAAATCTGCATAAATGATTGTCTATTTCTCGCATTGTGATTAAAACAATGGTACATAGAGCCATCGAATTTTGAATGACGAAATCCTACTCCTACGCGAATATGGGCATCTGAAATCCCAAATTTGGAAATTTGTTTTTATTATAGATTTCATTTTTATAAAACTTTAACGAATTTTTGATTTACAAACTCAATGCTTTAAAAGCGAGAAATGGCAACGTTATATAGAAAAAAAAATACTTTTATCTCCAGCTCGCGAGACTGTGTATATCGGAAATTCTAAAGATATGCTTAATTTAACATTATTTTGCGATATTGCTCTTGAACTGAATTTATGGTTTAAGTGCAAAGAACATGATATTTAATAAATAAAAGGTAACACTCAAAACGTTTAAAAAAAAAAAAACGCCCCTTTGGACGTAATTTAAAATCTGAAACATTTCAGTTTTTTTTTTTTTTTTTTTTTTTTTTATTCATTATCTATTCATATTATTATTTATGTTTCAGAGAATCGCAATATGCTATGTTTTTTTTAAGAGTTTTAGTGTAACTTTTTTTTAAATTTATTTTAGAGTATGAGTAAAAGAATTATTTAATTATTATAGAGTCATAACTAAAGAGATATAGATAGTTATTTCCGAGTAATAAATAGTTTCTTGAGGTAACAAATTTGGTGAAAATTTTTGAACACAAGGATTTCAAATCGAGCAATGGCAACGTTGTACAGAAAAAAAAAAAAAAAACATTTTTATCTAAAACGCGCGAATCTCTGTATCGAAAATTCTAAAGATATGCTCATTTTAAACTACTATTTTGCGATATTGATGTTGAATTGAATTTTATGGTTTAAGTGCGAGGAACGTAATATTTAATAAATAAATGTAACACACAAAATGTTAAAAAAAACGCCCCTTTGGACTAATTTAAAATGTGAAACATTTCAGATTTTTATTTATTTATTAGTCCAAAGGGGCTTTGTCCCTGAAGGACTATTGTTTTCGTTTTGCGATTTTGCGTCGGACTCATAAACGTCGGTTCACTTTTCAAACTGTTGCCACAAAATGTTAGAGTCCTGCATTATATTTGAAGAAATTAAATAATGAAAAATCTGCATAAATGATTGTCTATTTCTCGCATTGTGATAAAACAACGGTACATAGAGCCATCGAATTTTGAATGACGAAATCCTACTGCGAATATGGGCATCTGGAAATCCCAAATTTGGAAATTTGTTTTATTATAGATTTTATATTTTGTAAAACTTTTTAAACGAATTTTTGATTTACAAACTCAATGCTTTAAAAGCGAGAAATGGCAACGTTATATAGAAAAAAAATACTTTTATCTCCAGCTCGCGAGACTGTGTATATCGGAAATTCTAAAGATATGCTTAATTTAACATTATTTTGCGATATTGTGCTTGAAACTGAATTTTATGTTTTAAGTGCAAAGAACATGATATTTAATAAATAAAGGTAACACTCAAAACGTTAAAAAAACGCCCCTTTGGACGTAATTTAAAATCTGAAACATTTCAGTTTGTTTTTTTTTTTTTTTTTTAAGTGAAAATAGGTCGATGTGTACATGGATACCGAGTATGTGCAATTCTTAAAAACGCGTCAAGTAGTGGGTGATTCTGCACTTTACCCAAAATTCTATTGCCGACTTTTCGTCATGGGCAATTCCAAAATTATTAAATCGATAGGATGTATATATAAAAGGATTTAGAAATTAAACTAGTATTTCAAAGGCGTCTTAATAAATATAGAACTATATAAACTTATGCAATCTGAAATCAGCGCTCACTGTTTAGATTTGGCTAGATTTGGCTCACTGTTAAATGGGCGCATTTGCTATATTTGGCGCTTTTGCGCATGTATTTTCGCTGCAATTTTTTTACGGTCCTCAAAACGGAATAGTACCATCACTTTTTTTACTTTTTTATGGATGATTTGACAACTAAGGAGTAGCAGAAACAACAAGAAGAATAAACAAGATTCAAGTTACAGGGAAGTAAAAATATAGCTTAATAGATAATGTAATGCTGATATTACTATGTATTCTTATTGGAATGTAGGTTTTTTATAAAAAAATTTTTTTAAAGAAATAATATTGTGATAGTTACCTCTAATTTATCCACGAGTACTTTTTACTTGTTTATGTTCCCGTTGTAATCGCATCCTTCAGAAATTAAATTATTCGCATAAATTTGACTTCTCAAATTTTAGACAATAATCACATTTCTTATTAAAATATATGTCAAAACTATTCCCTTCCAGAATTTAAAACAGGGTATTCATAATTCTGTGAAACATTTTAAAATTTCATCACAATTAAACAATAAAATTCGGTTTTGAGGGCACTTAAAAATCGCCAAACTATTGTTGATGCCAGTGCTGCCAAAAATAATTTCGGCAACCCTAACGAAAGAAAGGAAGTATAACTATCTAAGATTGATGTTTTAATTTAGATGAAAGGTTAATTTCATATACATTTTTACTATTATAATTTATATAAAAAGGCTAAACATGACTGAATGGAAGCATAAGAGTAAATAACTATTTCAGATCATTATTATAATTTGCATAAAAATTGCTAAACATAACTGAATGGATGCCTGCATCGCTATTTCGCTACCGAGTTATCGCTAAAGCATAGTTTTATCTCGTTGGTTGTTCAAACATAATTTTCTATAATGAATGGTACCTTTTCTTTGAAAAAATTCTCGGTAAAGTGCAGAATCACTCACTTATTTGTTTGCCGCTTTTTACAATGGTAAAAACAATTGGATTTTTCTCAATTTTCTTTTACTTTTAAAGTGAAAATAAGGTCGATGTGTACATAGATAAAGTCAA